CTAGGCCCCCTGGAAGTCACAGATTGCAGACATCTAACACCTGCGGAGCTGGAGGACCTTCGCCGTACTGCAGCCATAGAGTGGCTGGCACAGATACCACTCCAACAAAGTGCGTCAGATGTAGGTTGCGGGCCGGTCCCAAGCCGACTGAATCGATGGTGCTTGACTGCTTCTGTTATCTCTGCGGGTATTGTTATCCTCGGTGGGGCGGCTGCAGGCCTGATACATAGCATGAGCGGTAATTCGGAAGCTGCCGAACGTACCATGGGGAGAACATTTAATGTGAGCCTATCTAGCACCACGACCGAGAATAACACTACGAGCAGTTCGAACGTCTTGGATCTTGTTTCCACAGGTGCCGCGAACACAGTGAAGCGAATGCTCGACACCAGTTCAACTGCGCGTTATGTGACACCGAATACAGTGAAGCGAATGCTCGACACCAGTTCAACTGCGCGTTATGTGACACCGACGATTAGGCAAACACGGAAGGTTAGGCAAACACGGAAGACTAGGAAAACAAGCACCATGACCGAGACTAAGACCACGAGCAGTTCGAACGTCTTGGACCTTGTTTCCACCGTTGCCGCGAACACAGTGAAGCGAATGCACGACACTAGCTCAACTGCGCGTTATGTGACACCGAACACAGTGAAGCGAATGCACGACACTAGCTCAACTGCGCGTTATGTGACACCGAAGATTAGGCAAACACGGAAGACTAGGCAAACACGGAAGACTAGGCAAACAAGCACCAAGACCGAGACTAAGACCACGAGCAGTTCGCATGTCACATCCGACGTAAATGATCTTTCGACAACAGTCGCTGTGAACATGATCAAGAATACGTTGCAAACCGGGGCGGGTAGAAGTACAGAGACTATTCCAGAATATGGGGGTCCGTTTAAGACGCTGATGACCAGACTTGAATTGGACGGGCTCCGAATCACAGGGCCCAAATGCGATGAGGCCTTTAATTCGTCTGGTTATGGAGATGGTAGCTGGCCCTTAATCGGGTCAGGTTTAGGGCGATATCCATGTGATGGCAGTAGTGGACAATTGATGTGTGGAGAACCCTCCGCTGGCACCTGCCATCATTTCGGTCCCTGGACGTATGACGTGTTTGCGGTGAAGGACGCGATTGAACATTATTTGCAAAGGCTGGGAGGCTGCGTTGTACGGTGCGACCGTGATAGTAAAATGGTGCGCGATCTGTGGGAGGAGACCGCAAGGCGTCTTCCGTTTATTCCCCGGTGCCCTGATACGGGATTCATGCATTTTGATCGGGCCCCTTCAGTTCCTGAAGTAAATGACTTCGAAGCGATGATGCGCCCGCGCTATCCCGTCGTAAGGGAGTGCTCAGGAAAGTGTATCGGCTGTAAGAAGGATGCCCCGACTTGTTCCTGTGATTTTGCAAAGGTCAAGTGTCGCTTTAGGGCGAAGGGAGAAACGGTTGATCAATCGATTGAGTCAATCGGCTACAATACGACAGTGCTAGACGTAGCGAGACGGTTGTCAGCATTCAACACAAAGGACAGAGTAGGTGACAGGTATGACTGCGAATATGACTGCCGTAAGGTGAGCCCGGATGTTGCTACCGTCAGTGACTTGCAAGTTGTGGAGACGGAGCCCGCGGGTGCGAGTGACCCCCTAAAGTTGAGATTGGGTCGACGCGAGTTGAGCAAGGTTCAGTTGCCTTTGGAAGAGTGTGAGAACTATTCTAAAGACCCCTGGCAAAAGTTGCAGGACATTGGACGCTATCCATGCGACGGTGGAAGTGGACTGATGATGTGTAAAACAACGGTGGCTACGAGACAAAACTGCTGGTGGGACTTCGGTTGCGTTAAACAAGTCAATTTTTCTTGTCATCGTTTTGGTCCAGTGTCCATGGACGTCTTTGCGGTCCACGATGCTGCAAAACGCCATCTTCACCGAATCCAGGATTGTTCTGTTAAGTGCCATCGGGACGAGGAGACGACAAACTACTTGTTGTCAGAAGCCCGCCGCAATTCACAGAATGTTACTGTCCACCCTGTGGATGGCCCTGGTTTCGGCGTCGCCCTAAACACACCCTATTCTGCAGACCCAAGTTGTTCGACAACCTGCAATCAATCTGTGTGCCAAATCCCCGACTGTGTCTGCCGAATTGTACATGCCCTCTGTCAAACCAAGATTAACGACCAGCCCCAGTGGATTAACTCATTCCGATTTAACGCCCGAACACGGGAAGTGTTTGGGATGCTATCTATCCCCAAGGCTAACAGAAACCCCCGCTACCCAAATGGCAAGGATGATCACACCCGTGTCTGCCATACTGATTGCTATGGTCCTCTGTGGTCCGCTAATGTGGAGTAAGTTTCTTCGCGTCTCCCGCCTGGCCGGTGCTGGCAACTGTGTCATAATACACACACAAAGTAGAAATCATTTCCCAGCTGGATGAGGACGGAAACCCAGCTGCTTCCATAGAATTTGTTCGGCTAACTGGAAGTTTGTTCAGCGGGGGTAGAACTAGGCGTTCGTTGATCACCATGCCGGCGAAGTAACCAAACTTATTACTGTAGTTGCTCCAATAGCAGTGTACGGTGACAGTGAATTGGAATCAGTTCCATTTGAGAACACTCGTGACAATGGTCGTCGAGAATGAAGGTAATTAATTGTGTGTCGTGAATCAAGCAATGCGGGATGTGCATGACTTGCCAGGGAATGGCTTGCGTGCTCGAACGATCTGTCCCTTCAGCCCGCAATCAGTCCCCCCGTGCTGCATCAATGTCTACGATGTTGACTTCCTGTCGGATTCTGTTGGGTCCTTATAGCACGATAGATTATCTTAAATCCATCCATAGTGACCCCTGATCGAAACTCCGTCAACATAATACATGACCCTACTTCTTGTAGTTGTAGCCAACAGGCTTGCTGGGGTGGTCTGCCTTAGGTTCGGTCGGGCTTGATTCTGTTTGCTCCCGCTTCTTGTTGTCACCGAACCCCCCCCCCCAATTGAATCTTACGGCGCCGCCATTTGTTCTTTTTTTTTCCCCTGGTCCAAGATGCTCCACCAGGCCCAAGATGATTAACCTATCACAAAACAAATACCGTCAGTCAGACACCCCGTTGGGCTGAGCGCGTACACGTCGCCTACTGTGTCTGTCGGTGGTCGCAAATATGGAGAGACAATTCAAGCCAAACCTGCAACGTGGAAACGCCGTCTGGGTGTCTTTTAAGCACATGCAATTTCGGTTGGGTCAGTGTGTATGACGGAGTCTCCGAGCCTTCTTGGTAGAAGGTCGAATCCTACGCATTACGGCAGCTTGCCCGAGTGGTTAAGGGGGTAGACTCGAAATCTACTGGGCTCTGCCCGCGTTGGTTCAAATCCAGCAGCTGTCGGTGGCGACCGACGGGAGATGTAATGCGAATATCAGTAAGTGTTCGATAGCGGCATACTTTTGGGTTATGAGCAGCGACTGCGACGCCGCCAACCGCATCATATAAATGGATAAATGCAATACTTTCAATACGGCAACAGCAGCCCCTATCACAAGACCAAAATACTCCCGCAACTAAAATGCGGATTCACCTCTTTTTACTGAGGTACTGGCTCAGACCACTGGTTGCCAAGAAGGAATCGCACTTCCAACCTACCCAAGAGATCTGCCGCGTGCACGGCGAACCCAGTGCACGATGACACAAGGCGCGCCGCCAAATACTGGACTGGAAAATACTGGACTGGAGAACAACGCCAAACAAGCGCTGTCCCGTCCCTTTCTCCCTGTCCCCGTGATAATGGCCTCTCTCACCTGCAGGAATATGGGGCAGACGCCCGTGAGACGTACAGTTTGTGCAAAGTTGCGGATGTGTCATCCGGCCTCTGCAATGAGGAGTTCGATCGAGTCTATTGGACTGTGTTAAACAGTTGACATGTTATAAGAATTGGCTCCATCCAATAATAAGCACCTAAACTATCCTTTTCGAGCTGAGGATGAGAAGACACGAATTGCCGACACTAGAAATTAGTCCGGTGCCCGTGATCAAGATAAACGAGCCGTTCGGCCGATTGAAGGCAATGAATGTTTTGTGAGTGGCTTCGGCCCTTTCTACTAAAGTGCGAACCGTATAAAGTGGGATCTTGATTTCGCAAGGGGATCTAAGACGATGCATGCATGACCTTCCGACTTTGACCGAGAGGGTGAAGAGAGCTGAACTACCGACGTACCATGGACGCACACCGACGCGTTACCAAGAACTGTGGACCATTGGCTGCAACCGTTACTAGCAACCAACAAACTTACCGAACTGACTCACCGACCAACTTTTACACTACCGACCAGGGCCGTCAAAGACCGCATGACTCCCTACCACTTTTACCATATATTAACGACACAGGACGCTTTCCTAACATTCAAAGCTGCTGGCCGATCATAACGTGGGGTGCGACGAGGTATGACGTCTCCGTTTCGACAACTTCGCGGTAAGTGATTCGCGGTGGGAAGCAGCAAAATCTACTCCGCGAACTCGCGCGAACAGGCCATTAGATTTACTTTGCTGCGCCCTACAGGGATGAAGAAACTCTAGTGAATGCGGAGGAGAGAGAGAAGATCTGACTGTCTCCATACACGCGTTTTATTACACGGGTCAGACCACCTCGGGACTCTCGCCATGCTCGAGGAATATCGAGAGGGAGTAAGACTATCTAGTTATCTATTCGAGTCAGTTGAAGGTTACGGTAGAGAGATCCCCGGGCAACAAATGATAGGGTCCAAATGCGTTGGGGCATTTAATTCATCGAGCTATAAAAACGGCAGTTGTCCGTGGATGGAGACAATACTCCTTTTGGCCATACTCCTTCCGATTATTGCTCCAGTGCCAAAAGGAAGAAAAACCGTCTGGTCGTCCCTGGTGGGTCAGCATCTTTGAGCGGACGGCCTCCATGACCGTTAAAGATGGTGCTACGGCGCTTAGGACACTGTTCCGCATTTGATGGCAAACGACATTAGGCGTTGTGATTACAGGGAAGTAACCTTTGGTCCTAGTGCTGGAATGGTTGCCTTTGACAAGCGTGCCAATTCTACTGAATTTCACTTACTTGGACCTCCTTTCATGTTCGACGCGATTCTAGATGCTTAGGGAAAAAACCTTGGACAGTTGGAAATTAAATGACTACAGAAATTATTAGATCTTCTCAGAAAGGCGGCTGGGCGTAAACATGACAGGTATCGTCCCACCCAGATCGGAAATTCCGATCGTCGTCACCGCGGCAAAAGATGGGTCCGTTGCCTTTTGAAAGAACAACATTGTTCGAGTGGAACGGGGCCAAAAGTTTTCGGTGCTGAATTTCAAACGCAATGGACTGATCCTCTGCCGGAGTCGTTGGCGACGATGGTAATATTCGGACACTGATCGCCAATGAGTAGTATGCAGAGAAAGAACATCAGATCCAGACAACATCAGATCCAGAGAACATCAGATCCAGAGAACATCAGATCCAGACAACATCAGATCCAGAGAACATGCGGATATACAATAGTGAATGGTTCAAGTCAGCTACTTGGGTGAAGGGTTATACCGAAAGGGGTCTGTAACACCCAGGTGCTGAGATACTAGGAATCGATCGACTACCCCAGCAATAAGTTCACGGACCCAGCAGCAAATTCACGAAAGAGGGTTGCAATGAAGTTTGCTGTGGGTCAGAAGTGGGAACAGTCCCGTACAGCGCTACAAGCGCAAAGACAGCAAGCAGCAGGGTGCCCACCCTTCAGGTCGCAAGCAACGACGTTCAACGGCACACAATGGCCTGGCGATCTGGACGCAGTGACTCCCCCCGTCATGGGTTTTTTATACTCGAACCCCACGAGCGTGTGTCTGGCTGGACATTTGAGGCGCCGATCGCAGACGGCCCCAACGACACCAAAATAGTTTCGAAAAATTGTCATTCCCGCAAAACTGAGAACCGTAACGGGTTCTGGGCCACCTCTCTCCCCACCAATCGGTCCCCACCAATCGATCCCCATCAATCGGTCCCCACCAATCGGTCCCCACTAGTCGTCCAGAGAGCCGCTGAAGGCGATAAGTTGATATTTGTCATTCTTGTCGCAAGGTGCCAGCAGTTCGGAATTATCTTCGAGTCTGAGGCAATTTATATTGTCGTACTTGAGAAGACCAATGGGTACTTGTTTCAATTCTGGGTTCCTTGGCACGTTAGTGAAGGGTAGTTCTGGTAGTGGTTCGTATGACCAGGCATTGTAGGAGCCCGATTTACAGGTGGTTTGTTCGAGACTGGTCTTGCCTTTGGGTTTAATGCAGTGTTTAAATCCTCCTGCTCCGACTCTTAGGAGGCCGTCGTCTAGTAAGAATGATTGGGACCCTTTCTGGCCATGGCATCCGTAGGTGCCTACGGGTCCAGTGTCCTTGGTTTGGAGGTTGTCTAGACAAGTGCCCGCGATGATTCGTCCCTGCTCATCAACGTATTCGTCGGAGTCGTCGGTAGCGCGGCCTCCTTGGTGCACGGAGCCTGCGCTGAAGAGGCTGCCACGACGGGCGGTTTCCAGGTTCGGTACCCAGACATCAACGGCTACGTTATCAAGGAACCATTTGAAAGGCTTGCAGTCAAGTCGTTTCCGAACTTCCCAAACCATTGACAGATCACCTACATCCATACCCTTGGGCAGATTGCCAGAGACAATATTGAAAATTTCAAAGTACTCATCCAGCCAGACCATTGCCGTTCGTCTCTTGTTCCTGAGGATTTCTTCCATCGGCACTTTATAGACCTGGCCCTTCCAGTATTCCGCCGTTCGGAACACGTGGCCCACTCGGCTGCAGGGCACGTTGAGCAGCTGGCCGCCACAAGTCCATGTCTTGAACCCGATCTCCATCTCCTCGCCGCCGTACAACCGCATTTCGGGGTCGTAGCCGCCCAGGTCATCGATGAACCAAGACTTGTCTGCAGCGAACAAGCCACCCGCCATAACCGGCGACGCAATCGGCTCGAACTCAGACTGGTTAGGGGGATGTGTCTGACCTAGCGACCAAGAAAAGCTAAGGGTACCAAGGGCATTCTTCTCATATTCAAAGCTGTCCGCATCGATAGTGTGTATTTTCGGAGTTACAATCGTCTTTCGATTCTTCGCAATCTCATACACCATCGGCTCCATCCATCCCCTAGCACACTCAATGTGCGAATCCAGGTATACGACTACCGGTGATGATGTGTATCGTGTTCCTTCGATCCGTGCCATCATCAACCCTCGACGTCTGCTCCCGTAAATGAGACGCGTTTTTGGTAAGTTTTTTACGTGGTATGGCAACTCGGTGAACAGCCAGCTATGACTCGTATCGTTGGAAGCGTCGTTGAATAGCACAATTTCCCCCAACAACTCCGGCGGCGTCCTATTAAGAATTGAATGAACGGAACGTAGCAATACCGATAAGTCTTCGTTGTGGAACACGATCACCACATCCGCTCGAGGAAGTTCCACGTCACCGTAGTCCTTGGCCTTGCACTCAGCCGTGTTGTAATCCGCTATCTCGCGATCCAGCGCCAACGACTCACTTACTCGACGGTTGAAACAGTAACCCTCATGCGCATCTCGCTTCTGCTCCCGCGTCATCTTGAATGACAGCGGTCGCGGCACCCACAACGTCTCACCTGTCTCTAAATCGTATCCTACGCGGCCATGCAAATGCCGCGAGTCCACACCTACCTTCAACGCCTGTGGTGGACCCCCTGGATACTCCACCACGTCGTCGTGCTGGACCTTCATGCTAAAGTCCTACAACACGGCACCCTTACATACACTTGTCAGTTCACACACTGTTGAGCACACACTATTGAGCACTAGGGAAGGGAAGTTACCCGATCAAGTCGAATCATCGACCGCGGCACGGACGCCCGGGAAGTCAGTAGCGAAGCGTGTTCGTATCTCGGCAGGAGCATTATGATAACCACCAGCAGCACCAACGACAATAAACTACACCAGCGTAGCCGACCGGAGCGCATCAAGCGATTCGCAGCCCGGCTAACCTCTCTGACCGCATGAGCTGACAAACAACCTGGTTACTCTCATCCTGCTTACCTCGCTGGTTGCTCCAAATGCCCTCTGCCATACGAAAAAAATTACAGCGACCACGCCCCCACCGTCGAAGCTTGCCCGCGCAAGCCGGGTTTGAGTTGTGCTCCCCCTCTCCCCCTGCGTTCCCCCTCTCTCCCCTGCGTTCCCCCTCTCTCCCCTGCGTTCCCCTTCTTCTGTTAGGAAACTTGGTCTGAACCTGATCTGAATTTGGTCTATCCTGTTTCCCAGACGGACATGCACCTTGGTCGTTGGATGCACCATGCCACCTAAGAAAGCAAAGGCCAAAGCTAAGAGCAAGCCGGGGGGCAAGGCCGCGCCGGTGGCGGACGAGGCGGCTGCCACGCCCGCTGCCGAGAGCGAGGCGCCCGTGGTGAAGGAGCCCGCCAAAAAGGCTAGCCCTCCGGCGGCGGGTGAAGGCAAGGTGAAGAAGGCAAAGGCTTCGGGCGAGAAAAAGAAGAAGGCCTCTTCTAAGTCCAAGGAGGGTAAGACCGGTTCGGGAGAAGAGGCAAAAGGCAAATCGCCGGCTAAAGTCAAGTCCGGCGAGGCCAAGGTGAAGAAGAAGGGCAGCGGTGAGAAGAAGGCCAAGGGTGAGAAGAAGGCCAAGGGCGAAAAGAAAGCCAAGACCAGCGGAGAGAAGAAGGCCAAGGGCGAGAAGAAAGCCAAAACTAGCGGCGAGAAGAAGAAGAAGACTAGCGGCGAGAAGAAGAAGACCAGCGGTGAAAAGAAGAAGACCAGCGGTGAAAAGAAAAAGACCAGCGGTGAGAAAAAGACTAGTGGTGAAGGCGGTGTCTCTTCCAAGGCCGTAGTGAAGTCGACCAAGAAAAAGTCCAAGGCCAAATCAGGCGAAAAAGCCGGTAAAGCCAAATCGGGTGAGAAGGTCGCCAAAGCCAAGTCGGGAGAGAAGGCCGCCAAAGCTAAGTCTGGAGAAAAGGTGGCCAAGAAAGGTGGCAAAAAGGGCGGCAAGGGCAAAAGCAAGGAGGGGGCCAAAGGCAAGGGGGCCAAAAAGGGCAAGGCCAAGGCTGGCTCCGCCGAGGGAGAAGCCAAGGGAAAGGCGAAAGCCAAGAAGGGAGGCAAGAAAGCCAAGGCGCCCGACGAAGCTGCCGCCAAGGCCGGCGCTGAAGGCGAGGTCGCCAAAACCGCTGAAGGAAAGGCTGCCAAAGGCAAGGTAAAGAGCAAGGAAGGAGGAAAGGGCAAGACAAAGGGCAAGGGCAAGTCCAAGGAAGGCAAGGCCAGCAAGGAAGGCAAGGCCAGCAAAGAAGGCAAGGCCAGCAAAGAAGGCAAGGCCGGAAAGGAAGGCAAGGCTGGAAAGGAAGGCAAAGGTGGCAAGACCGGGAAGGAGGGCAAAGTCAGCAGCAAGGAGGGCGCCAAGGCCGGGAAGGAGGGCAAGGTGAGCAGCAAGGAGGGCGCCAAGGCTGGGAAGGTCAGCAGCAAGGAAGGCGCGAAGGGTGGGAAGGTGAGCAGCAAGGAAGGCGCCAAGGCCGGGAAGGAGGGAAAGGTGAGTAGCAAGGAGGGCGCCAAGGCCAAGACCGAAGCCAAGGCCAAGGAGGGCGCCGTCAAAGCCAAGGAGGGCAGCAGCGGCGAGAGTGTGGGCAAGAAGGTCAGCAAGGCCAAGGTGACTGGCCCGCCGGGCGCAGCCACTTCGTCTCAGGAGAGTGCGCTGGCGAAGGTGAAGGAGGCGCTTCCGAAGGGGAAGGAGTTGGCGAAGGAGACGAATGTGGACGTGCAGGAGGAGGTGGTGATGAAAGACGGGAAGAAGGTCACGGTCAAGACCACGACCACAACGACCAAGACGTTAGTAAAGATCCCTGTGGCGGGAAAGGACGGGGCCAAGGAAGGAGGCAAGTCCCCACCGGCGACCAAGGAGGGTGCGTCCATGTCTCCGGCCAAGTTGGCAGACGCTGCTGGGAAGACTGCGGGCGCGGTAGGCGCGAAGTCGCCCGAGGGGGCCAAGTCGCCTGAAGCCGCCAAGTCGCCCGAGGGGGCCAAGGCAGCCGAGGGGGCGAAGGCGGGCGAGTCGCCGAAGCAGGTGTCGCCTCGGGCCTCGGGCGAGATCACGGAGGTGGAGCCCCCGGCGGGCGGCGCTCCTATGGAGGGCAAGAAGAAGATCGCCGTGCGTGTGATCAAGAAGAAAATGCCGGACGGGACCATCCAGGTAGTGCGACGAGAAAAGGTGGAGGTAGACGAGGTGACCGGCGAGACGCGGGTCATATCGTCCGAGGAGGTGGGGTCACCGGCGGCCGCCAAAGCCACGCCAGCGGCTCCGCCGCCGCCATCTGTTGCGATCGGTTCCGCCACCTCCGGCACGCCCACGTCCCCGCCCACCACAGACGCGTCGCCACCAGCCCCCGGCCTGCCCCCCGGCTTCGTCATTCCTCCCAATGCCGCCGACATTCCGTGCCCGTACCACCACACCTGTATGGTGAGCAACACCGTCCAGCAAACCACAACCACCGTCACGACTGGCCAAGAAGCTCAGCCGCCGAAGCCAAAGATGACCAAAGCGGAGTGGCGCGCGTACAAAGCCGCCAAGGACAAGTACCGAGCGGAAGAAACAGAACGAATCAAAAAGCAAAAGGCGTACCTCACCGTTCGGAACAGGAAAGGCAAGAAACTCCTCAACACACCGGCCGCGAACTATGTCTGCGGCGGCTGCGCCCACCTGTTCATTCCAGACGATCATGATATCCCAGCCTGTCCTGTGTGTCGACGAATATCCTTCGATGACATTCCGTTGCTGATGTAAATAACATCAATACAGTTCTTCCCCTTGCCAATATCGTCTCGTGAATATCTTCTCACCCATATCGCCCCGCCCGATATTTGTCCGGCCTGCGTCACCTGCTACCAGCTCCGGATATCAGTTCCTGATATCAGCTCAACCCATACCGTCGGTCGTTCACTCGCTCACCAACGACATGACAAGCGACATGTTCTTCACGCCCATAAAGGATGCTGGGGCTTTGCTGCACTAGGCTCTTCTTGTCCAGTCAGTTTTTGGCGGGTCAGTTTTTGGCGGGTCAGTTTTCGTCCGGTCAATTTCCATCGTCCGCTCCATTCTTGCCGCCTTTCCGGACCACGCACGGACGCCCCTGGACCCACACAGTCCCTTGTCCCGCGATAGCACACGTGTGTGCGCCTTTCGTATGAAATCTGGGTGAGCGCAGTAGCGGTATGAAGGAGCACACACGTGTGTGCTCGCCTGGATGCTTGTAAATCTGATCCCTTTATTCGCCTACGCCTTGGGACACAGCAACACAACCTTTTTTGAGCATGACGCAGCACCGATCCTAACAACTAGTAAGGCGGAGAATCGTTAAGTATTCATGAATTTCCCAAGAGGTCATTTGTCCGAAGGGCTGGACGGCACAAGGACCTTACTGCATAATAGGGGTTCAACTGGAGCCGTTCACTGAATGTCCTCGACAGAAGAAGCGGTACCGGTACCCGTATCCCGTACGGCCACCGTTTGAAGTAACAGTTGCTGGAATTTGCATGATGAAAGAGATTGTAGGTCCGGTGATGCGGTGTCCGAAGGGGTTTACCTTGGAGTTGAATCCGACGTCTAGTTTCGATCTGCACGAGACTACGAAGGTGGTGTCAGACCGTAAGGTGGGCAGGCCTTTGTCGGGCCCGACGAACAACACCTTTTGGGAGAACCGTACGCCTCGCGGAGAGCCATATACACCGCGATACCCTGCGGTGAACAGAACACTGGACGAAGCCACAGGGGTGTTCGACAACCCCAGCGAGTACCGGTGTATCGGTACGGAAAGAAAGCTTTACAACGAGCAAGACTGGGCGGACATCGGGAGCCGCTGCACGCCGGGGTATCACTTGCAGAACGTCTTCGAGACCCAGACCAATCTGTATGAACCGACCAAGTACTATATTTGCGAAGGATACCCAGTCCTACCCCCCGAACCCTTCTGTCCACGAGGGTTCAGACCATCTCTAAACGCTTACAATCCCGCTAACTTCCTCCAAGAGAAATCCATCAGCTGCTCCAGAGCCACTCGCTTCAAAGGCCGCATGTGGTGTCCAGACACATTCGTACTCAACGGGGAACCGGCACCCGGGGTCCCATACGGAGGGGAGGTGGAGCCTACTACCGCAGACGTCAATTACGACCCCTACGTGTACGACAGCGTCTCTTTCACCCGCGACACTCCGGCCCGATGCATCAGGGTAAGCACCAGTGGGGGCGGGGGTGACTAATGGGATCTGCCAAGGGTGGGGGCTGTGAGAGGGCGACCGGCGGGATGCCAATGGGGCTGCGAAGAGGTGCGTTTTAGTGGGTGGCGTTGCATCACGACCAGTGCAGCGATAAGCAGTGTCACGACCCGGTGATCAAGGAGGTGGCCAAGTACGTGCGGCATTTTGCGTACTATGCGCAGAAGCGCGACCCAGATTACATCCGGTACATGGCTCTTCAAGGTTACAAGGACCGTCGCTGGCAGCCGAAGCAGCAGCAGTACCCTCAATAGCAATGCCAGTGTATCACTGCTAGTACTGGCAGTGCATCACTGCCCGTACTGGCAGGCAGTACCCGCACTGGCAGTGACAGTAGTAAATTTTGATGGATAAAGTCGCAGTCATTACGGGAGCCTCGGCGGGTATTGGGGCTGCGACTGCATTGAGGATGTCTCAGGCGGGCTGGACGTTAGTGTTGGTAGCCCGCCGGCAGGACCGTTTGGAGGAGTTGGGTCTGAAGGCATTACTGTGCACGTTTGATATCACGAATCCGTCCGCACCGGATCAGATTTGGAATCGGATCTCGGAGGCGCTGCCGGGTCGTAAGGTTGACTGCTTGGTGAATAATGCGGGACTTGCACTTGGTACTGCACCTGTGCCTGATTGCAGTCCTGAGGATTGGCAGCAAATGGTCGAAACAAATATACTCGCCCTTATTAAGCTGACCCTTAAACTTACACCGCACATGAACCCCGGTGCTACTGTCATTAACCTCGGCAGCGTTGCTGGCCGGTGGCCTTATCGCGGTGGAAACGTGTATGGTGCCACCAAGGCCTTCGTCAAGCAATTCTCCGAAAACCTCCGGTGCGACCTACAAGGTACCGGCATCCGCGTCTGCAACGTAGAACCCGGCATCGTCGATACCGAATTCTCCATCGTACGCTACAAAGGCGACCTCGATAAAGCCAAAGCCGTCTACGCCGAAAAACTCAGCTTGACAGTATGACCGCTCCCCCATACACAAATCACCTGCACAGGTCCAATACCTGCACAAGTCCAATCACCTGCACAGGGGTGACAGTCTTCAGACGGGACATCCTGTACGAGGACTGAACACAGCACACTTTGGACTGGAGACCTCTTTCCTGTTGCAGGCGGACAATGTTGCACAGACTATTGCGTGGGTTGCCATGCTTCCTGCGCGTGTGTCGATTCCCCGGTTTGAGATCGTGCCGGTGACCCAGGCTACTCGCGGGTTTGTTTTTTAACTATTTTTTCTGAATGATGGATACGACGCCATCGGTGGGTGCCACCGCGCCGCCGGGTCAGCGTGAAAAGGTGTCCGCACAGCAAGCTAGTCCTTTGTCGACAGCGGTAGAAAGCAACAGTACCGCCACTTGTGTGAATCCCCCCGTGTCCTGTGTGTGTGTCCTTCCTGATCCTGACCTAGGTCTACTCGGTCGCTGCTTGAACTTTGGTTTGTGTTATAGATGATGGCAGTCGCCGTTGGTCAATTGAGAACCGTTCGACGGCGGAGACCCCGGGTAGGTTGTCGGTGACGAGTCATATATTTCGTTTCTTGTCGACGCGCAAGTCCTCTTATGCAGGGGGCGAGGAAACGTTGTATGCGTTGCGACAGGAGCTGAAGTTGTTGAGGGATGAGTATCAGAGTGTGCTGGGGAGTTTAGAGCTAGCGAGTAATCAATTACGTTTGAGGAATCGGCAATTGGAGAGGTTTCAAGAGACTAACGACTACTGTCAGAAGTTGTTAGGCCGGAACAGCCGTCTTGAGCTGGAGATAGCTCGGGTGCAGGATGAGAATGAGTCTCGAATCCGAGAGTATACCGGTCGATTGCAGGGCACGGAGGAAGAGAAAAGTTCCCTTCGGACACAGGTGTTGGACCAGCGAGAACGTGCGCGGGAGTTGGAGCATTCGCTGATCGAGATGGAGTTGATAAAGAAGAACAACGAGCGTTTGAGGAGTCAAGCCGCAGACCTGTCGAGTCGAATGTCATTGTTGAAGAAGGAGCTTGATGAAGCGACCAGTGCTCGGAAGGCGGCCGAGGAAGGGGTGGGAAGTCTAAAAGATGAGTACGATAAGCTTCTGAGGATTTACACGTCTCAACTGAACGCTATTGGAGAGACTTCTGAGACAGTGGAAACGGTGGCCAAAGAGAACAGATCTTTAGTGCAACAGGTGTCTGAGCTGAAGGAACGGTTGGCTGATCGTAACACTGGTTTCCAAAAACAGCTAACTGAACTGGAGATGAAATACGCCGCGGCGGATTCTCTCGCAGCTAATCGAGGACAGCAGTTAGAGTTGATTGAAAGTCAGTACGAGAAGCTGTGTGAAACTTTGGGTATTCTTAAGAGTAAACTTGCGAACCAGGACCAAGATAAAGAATTGGAACGTCTTCAAAAACTATTGAATGACCGTGAATTGGAGTACCAATTGCGTATCAGTGACCTTGAAAGTAAGGCTACTGGACTAGGAGAAAAACTGAAGAGCTATGGTGAGATGCATGCGGTAGCTGGGAAGTTGGTTCAGCGTAATACCGAGCTGGAACGGCTGGTATCGGAGCTGTCAGATCCGAAGTCTCATTTTGACTTGGAAAAGTTGCGAACCGAAAAGGAGAGCGCGGAGGCAACGGCTAAGCGTTATGCGAAGGACATAAAAACTCTGGAGATCCATCTTGCATCTATGAAGAAGCAGCTGGAAAAGACTGGAAGTATAACCAGGGAGGACGACGAAGAGCTGCGCCTGGCGATTATTGATGCTTTGAAAGAAGACCACAAAAGAGAGATAAGCGATTTGGAGCTGGAGTACAACGAGGAGCTTCGGCGTATCCGGAAGTTACATCAAAACGAGATAAACAAACTGAATGAGGTAACACAGGAGGGACGTATTGCTTTACGAGAGCAGATTAAACAGGAGCTGGATCGTGAGTTCGAAGACAAGGAGAAGAGTATGAGGGAAGCCTGTCAAAAGCTGGTGGACGAAGCTAGAGTGGATATGGACAAGAGGCTTCATCTATACCAAGAGAAGGTTGATGAGCATCATAAACAGATTCTGAATAGTATTGAAAGGCAAAATAAACATCGTATCGATCAACTTAAAAAGGAAGCCACTGCTGCACGACAGCGATACGAAAGCGCACTTGCATCCGTGGTCGCCGAATCTGACGTTAAAATGGCTGCCGCTGCTGAGGAAATGGATCGTCATTTACGTGATAAGGATGAGGAGATACAGAAGATGCAAGCATTATTAGTTGCCGCTGAGACTAAACAGAACATTGAACCATCCGAAACAAATATTCTTAGACTACAACTTGAACAACTTAAGAGTGAGATGGCAAGAGATAGAGAAGAATGGTTGACGGAATATAATCATATGAAGAAAAAATATGACGATCTTTTGCAGAAACAACTTGACGAAAAGGAAATGGAAATTGAACAACTAAAAACATCTCCGGGTCGTGGTGGTTCAGGGCCAGCGATAGCCAGAATTGAAGAACTGATAAAGCTAAGCACAAATGCTACTAATAATCAGTCAAGAGAGTTGCTTGAAAGCTTACAATCGAGTAAGCTGGATTTAGAAGAGAAGAATACATTACTTCAGAGGAATATAACATCATTAGAAGAAGATATTACTCTAAAAGAAAAGGAAATTGATTCATTAAAAAGATCCATTAAAAGAAATTCATTGATAGCAAGTTCTGGTCAAAATATCCCATCTATGAAAGGTATCTTGAAAAGGAATGAGGAATTGGAGAAGAAGCTGACAGAATTAAGTGAAAGACATCGGGAAGAGATTTCAACAAAAATGAAGGAAATTTCTCACTTGAGAGATACTCTTCGCACACGTGTGCGAAATTCTGATAGGAATTCTATTGAGGTTATTGAAGTTGAGAAGCCTGAGACTAGAAAAGTTATAAGTCAACTTCATGATAGGATTAAACGTTTGGAAGAATCTCGTGCCCAGCTTGCATCATCGTTACGTTCCAGTCAAGGGGGAACTGAAGGTCGTCCCGTGTCTCGTACTCTTGACGCTACCGAAATGAATCATGTCCATCAGAATCTCCAACGTCATATTTCCGAACTTAACAAAACTATTGAAGAAGGGAATCGTCTTCAAAAAAACTCACATCAAGCTTTATCTGAAGCCGTTGACAAGAGGGTTGAGAATATGAAACTTGAAGGTATGGTTTCTGCTTTGCGGGCGAGATTGGAAGAGCAGCAGGAGAAAGTTAAGATGATGGAAGAGGAAATGGATAATGCTGCTAGATCTGTTTCAAGCCCTGTGATTGTGGACAATAAATTGACGTCAAGAAAGGAAGATGAGTTGGCCATTGAGAAGCACCGACTAGAGGAGACATTGGAGCATATGAAAACATTATTGGCAACTAAGGAGTCTGGTCTGACGCGAGAAATTGAAAATCGAAATGAGCAAATGAATATCATTGAAAAGACTAATTCGGAGTTATCTAAAGCATTGGAATGGAACAAAAATCTTCAAGCGCAATTGAAGGATTCATTTGATGTTAGTCCTAGAGTAAATTTTGAGAAAACTGAGCAGCTTTTAACTACCCTAGAAAGTGAAAATTCTTCAAAAGCGGAAGGATTCCAATTAGAGATTTCTCGTTTGCAAGCGTTGATTAAGGAACGTGAATTAGACTGGCGAAGACTGAAAGAAGATTCTGATGTGATTCAAGAACAGCTAAGAATCACTAGCATTGAGAAAATGGAACTTCTTGATAAGCAACACAATCAAGAAGTATCTCGTCTAAAAAGGGAATTAGAGAACCGGAAGGACGTAATTGACGGTTTGACTAGAGAGTTGGAGGATGTTCGGAATAATTATCGGCATTCTAAGGAAGAAGGTGAATTACGACTAACTGAGCTTGTTCAGAAAGTGTCATCTCATTTTAGTCAGCAGGAGTTGCTTATAGCCAGGATCCAAGAAGAGAAGGATATAGATACGGAGAGAATGAAACTTGAGATCCAGGCGTCTATTGAGGCGCAGACAGCGCTAGAAGCAGTTATTCAGGAAACGCGTAAGACATTGTCACAAAAGGAGGAAGAATTGAAGGATTTGTTGGACCAATTGCGCGTTTTGGCTGAGGAGATGACAGGAGATTCTATTTCGGATGAGCTGGACGTGTCCAAGATTCGAGAGGAATATTCCCGTCTTGCTAACGCCTTGACAGATAGCCGTTCCGAAGTTAGCCGTCTAACTTCGTACTTCGAGCAACTTATCAGAAAACAGGAACAGGAGGTCATTTTCGCCCGACAACAACAGAGAACTCTCGGCCAGTGGGGAGACCGACTCTCGGCCGTTGAGGATGGGAAAGCTATTGACTCCAAGCTGCTGCAGTATAAGGGGGATGTTAGCAAGTGTCGCGCCGATTTGGAGAGGTATAATCAGGTGGCGGAGAATATGCGCCCTCTTATCCAAAACACTCTCGATTCTCATCTGCTTACTGAACCTATTCAGAATCTCCACACCGCCACTGACCACATCCAAGAAGCACAAAAACATTCCAAAACTCTCTTACATCGAGTTCTCAACGATTCATTCGGCTCCAAAACATTCAGCTCTCTAGTGACCAAAGTGCAATCGTTTGTTAACAATACCAGCGATATGCACACTTCAATAACGCGAACTTCAACAGGTACATCTCACTCCATCACTGTTACCATACACTCTTCTGCCACACATCTTCTTGGGCAGTGGAAGAGGACATTGTGTCCACCAAACGAAGCTTAGGCGACGACCTGACCGGGGACCGAAAACGTGCTCGTTAGTGTGCGTCTCTTTGTCACAAGCGTCGCACTCCATTTTTTTACGAGGGATGGCGTCCTTCAAAGCACGCCCTTACGTATGTCCATCGATTGACTGCGATGTGGGTGGTAAAAATGTGGGTGGCAAAAATGTGAGTGCTCAAAAATGCGAGGAACTCTTTGTCCGTCGACTGATCGAAGTTGTACGGGTTGAAGTTGTGGACCCAAGTTGTGGGCGGGAGTTAGTTGCGGAAGCCGAGTGCCCAGGCTTGGTCTGTGTGCTGTGTGTCAGTGAGTTGTTCGTAGAATCTAAGGAGGCGGTCTTCCCAGCTCGAAAGGTCCTTGCAGCCGACTCCGGAGAGTACCTTGAGGAGCTGGCGATCGTCTAATATGGCTGGTTGGACTGGCTCGCAGCAGATGGATGCTGGCGGTCTGGTGCCGAAAGCCTGGGGTGGGACAATGCAGGCGGCGCAGGCGAATTGCCGCAGCACACGGCCAGCTGCGGCGACGCAGGCTTCTTCATCAGTTGTGGTTGCTTGGGGGAAGAGAGCGACGGCTACTTCGGGAGCCTGGAAATCGAACTTACCTTGCCGGGTGGGTATGCCAATGTCGCTAAGTTCTTGCAGCGTTGGCAGGCCGTGCTGGCGGGGGCAAGCCTGCAGCGCTCGTACGACCTGGAGGGCCACTGCCAGCCCCAGTCGTCGTGAGAACTGGTTCTCGCCCGCCGCTGTCTTCAAGTCGTAGTAAAGTGCTTCCGACTTGGGGTCCAGATTCTTCAAAACCTGCGCATCTTTTATCCTCAAAACTGACGCGTTCACGTCGTTTCGGTCTGCACAATCTAAGTACATACTGCCTCCATGTACTGCTAACAACAACGACACGGAGTGCAGCAGGAACCCTCGCCTCACTTGCGCACAGCAAACTTTTCTTGCGCTCATCCCCCGAAAAAATATTTTTTAGCCGCGCGTTTTACTCCTCGTAATAGAGCAACAAAAAAACCCAAAATCGCTAGCCGCTCATACTCAAGCCGCGTCCACACCTTGCAGAGTTCATCTTGCCTTATTGCAGACACGCTGACACGCTGCTGTGCGTGCGCCTGGGACTTGTAGACATAGGAGCATCTTGCATACTCGGGAGCACCTTTATTGAATGCGTTCTGAACGGGTGGCTGCCCCCAGGCTTTCGAGATTCAGGTTTAGTCTCAGATCTCACAGGTTTAGTCCCGATGGCTTCTACCTGCACCTCGAAGGACTACGGACAGCCGCCCCTTCAGCACGTATTCAACCGTGTGCGTTCCCCATGTCTGCTATCAATCGACCGACTGTGTCTGTAGTCGGAGGGGATAAACGTCTCCTTGATCAACGTCTCCTTGAGTCTCTAGTCCGCCCCATTACGTGGCGTCCAGCTTCACAGTACCTCCTCCTGGGGGACCCTGTACAGATAACGGTGTTGCAGAACTCGTCCGTGTTTTCGTCCGTCCGTGTTTTAGAACTCACTCCTCTTTTAGAACCCACTTTTGACGTCTAACCCAAGTGGGCTAGACATCAACAGTAGACGAGTCCGTATCGACGACGGGCGAATCCGGCTCCCCGGAACCGGAGACAATACCTCATCAACAGCAGATGGGCAACTTACCGACTGACCGGCTCGCTCCCACAGAAACAAAGATAGACGAACGTGAAGCTGTGGGCCTGCGCTGGTGGGCCTGCGCTTGCCCGGAGCATTTGTCGGTATTTGGTCAACCGCAGACCAGGTTGTTGTCGAGTACCGCAAAAAATCGCATAATCCGCCGCTCCGTGTGTGCGACATTGTGGCCCAGTTGTTACAGCCGGCGTGCAACCACGATTGTGGAACTCCAGTGGGGGCCATGCTGTGAAACGTTTGGCAGAAGTCATCCGTGTGTCGGCAGAGGGTGAACTGTGTGATGGAAGTTCGTTTCGTGACACGTGTTCGGTTGCCTTTCTAAAAACAGTCCTGTTCCCACTCCTGTTCCCACTCCACTAGTTGTTCCTCGACTGATTGTTCCCTGTCCACAGACAGTTGTTGGCGCCTCCTGGCTAGTTGTGTGAGGGCCACCAGCTGGGTGTAGTGTGGTTGTATTTGGTCGCATTAGGTTGCGTGACGGTCCAGGCTTGTGGGGAGTAGTTGGTTCCGGTGAGTCGTCGATAGAGGTGCCTGAGCCTCGTTTCCACATCTTCGTAGGTGTTGCAGCCGGCGGCTGAGAAGACGTGAAGTATATCATGATCACTGACAGTCTGTTCGGGTGGAGTATCACAGCAGCCTTGGATGGGTAGGTTGTGAGCCAGGAGGCTGTCTTGACTGACAGCGCAGCCGTTGCTGGCGAGTTGGAGCATGACAGCACCGAACTGTTTGACGGCCTGTGTCTCGATGACTTCCCAAGCGGCAGGGTCGTAGGCGACTGTCCAGTCTGGCAATTCGTGCCGAGGACGTACCAGTACGGTTGCCTGACAGTTACGAAATGCTGGCATTCGGACCTGATTAAGCGAATCTAGGAAAGACACTCCCTTTCCATGCCGGTCACGCATCTGCTTCACGATCTCCAACGCCAAGCAAACTGCCGCACGTCGTGTTAAGCGACTACTCTCTACCACCTCCTCCAAATTACTCTGACATAACTCCCATGGCACTCGCGCCCCATCACCAGATGTCGAAGTTGCAAAAACCACCTTCTCCTCCCGCACCGCCGTCATCGCCGACGCGTCAACACAACCCAAACACTCTCGAGGGTCCGCGTGAGCCGCCACCAGCAAAGACGCCACACCCTCCACCCGTCCACTCTCTCCAGCCACCAAGGCTCTCATCCTCTCAAAATTTTACAAACATAAACCACACTCAACGATGCAGCCCACCATGGGGAGAACATTGCATGCCGACCAACACCCCAGAACCCGAACTCTTCTGGCGGAAGAAACGTTTCTGGCGGGAGGGAGGCTGCCGTGCCTGATGCCCCTTACCGTCGAGGCGTTTTTATGATACGGACTGAGCCCTGTTGATGCGTGGCGATGAATTGAAGCTGGTATCGGGTATGGCGCTGGGAGGTGGACCAGAGCACCTCACCAGCGATCAATGATGGTGGGCGAAAATTGCAAGCGGGGAAATGCTGTAGGAATATTGTGTCCAGACCAGCGGAATCACCCTAGGACAACATCGCGGCTTGTCGAAAGCTCATCGGCTTGGCCGCTCGTCAACCGTTCTTGATCGTGCAGGATGAAGCTCGTGAACTTTGCAGTATTTTCGGTCCAGGCAGCAATGACCTGGAGGGGACTCTGGTGGAGGCGCTGCCGTGTCTTCACCCACTGCCGTGCCTTCACCCCTGCAACACTTTCATTGATTGACCCTGAAACGACATCGACCGCAGCACGTCCCCGCACGGGGATGCTAATGGAAACTCCGTACGTCGTCCTAAAGATGCTGTGTCATCCATCCGTCAAAATCAGCCCCAATGGGCAGCTCGGGCTGTTAGTGGATGGCAGGGGGCGTTTTTAAACATCAGGCAAGAAAAATGCCGTTTGGAGGCACACCACAGGCGGATGAGACTGATGGCGATTCTTCTTCCGATGTCCCACCCGTAGCCGTTGAGAGAATCGAAGCCGAAGATGTGCCTGATAACGAGACGGTATATCTGACGATGAGACGTATTAAGAAGATTGAGAACATTGATGTAACAAAATGTCGAAGCTTGTCTGTAATATCATGTATTCTGGAAGACATGCGAGGTGTTCAAGGCATGATTAATTTGGAGGTTCTAGAATTGTATCAAAACCAAATCAAGAAAATCGAATGTCTGGAAGGAATGACAAAACTTGAGTAAGCCCCCCCCACCCATTACCCCCCCC